AAGACCTGTTTGCAAAAGATTGGATTTTGATAGAGCATTTCCATATCTGACTTTACACGATCTTTGTCCAATGAATGCTTTTATCCAGTTTAGCATGTTATGCTTAATACCAATCTTTGCCAATTTTAGAATTAGCTTCTCTTTCCATTCTAAGTCATATGCTGATTTGAAATCGACGAAAACAGCCGTAAGGGTATTTCTTGCATCAAGGGCATCTTTGATGTGTTGGGAAAAAGTGGCTACTTGTTGGCTCGTTGATCTTTGTGGCCTAAAACCTGCTTGTTCACTCCTAAGAATATTGTTAGTCTCAAGGAACCAGGTCAGCCTCCTGTTAACCATTCTTTCCATAAGTTTAGCCAGCACGCTTGTGAGGGAGATAGGCCTATAGTTGTCAAAGTTGCTAGGGTCTTTGCCCTTTTTTAGTACTGGTATTACTATGGCAACTTTCCATTGGTTAGGTACGAGACTGGTCTCCCAGATTTTGTTGTAAAGCGTCAGCATGGTTTCCTTGGCTTTTGGTCCCATTCTAATTAGAAATTCTGGATGAATACCGTCTTCGCCAGGAGACTTCTTGCACTTTAGCTGTTTTATCGCAGCATTAAGTTCGCAAGGTCGGAATGGTTCAGTAAGTACATTATTTGGTGTTGCTATGTCTTCCTTAATTTCACCAAACTGTCTTACTTGTATCTTTAAATCACTTGAGGATTTTCTGACCAAAGGGTTTTTCTTTTGCTTGTTGGAATAGAACCTCGCAAAGCAGTTAGCTATTTCGGAGTCGGTGGTAAGCAATTTGCTGTTTAAGCGTATTGGTTCTTTCTTGGGTCTTTCTCTGTTGTTTTGGAGGTTTCTCAGAAATTTGAAAGTGCGTTGGCCATCACTTTGGTAGTTGATATTTGAGATGAACTTGTCGAAAGAAGTGCGTTTAGCTTGCAAGATGGCTTGCCTTAGGACAGCTGATTGTCGTCTCCAAGCTTTTACGTCTTCCGTTCTTCCAGTCTGATCAGCAGTGTTGCGAAGGGCGTCCCTCTTTCTTTTCAGTTCCTCAAGGTGTTTAGACCAAAACACTCGATAGTGTTTAGTCTTGCCTCGGGGAATAGTTTTCTTTGCATATCTGATCATAATATTTGTGATAGCAGTGCAAAGTTTGTCAGGATGTTGGTTGAAGTTGAGGGGACTTGTGTGAAGTTCATTCTCCAAAAGGTTTGTGAATCTAGGCCAGTCAGCCTTCTTGAAGTTCCATGATAGCTTAGTTGGCACTTTCCTTGACATGATTTTGCTGCCGAAGGTAATACTAGCAATGACTGGTTTGTGACCAGAACCAGGATCTTCAATTATTTTGCGGTGTGTATGCTCACTGATGTCGCTTGAAGCCAAGAGTAAATCAGGAGTTGTTCTGGATCCCTTGTAGTGCAAATATGTAGTCGGATCCTCATTGTTGTAAATAAGTTCCAGAGGGTTGCTGTTTAGCATGTCTTCAATTTCCTTTCCAGCTATGTTTGTATTCTTGCAGCCCCATCTGGTGGATTGGGTGTTGAAGTCTCCTAATACTACAGTTTTGTGTGAGATGTTCAGAAAGTCAAAGTTGGGACAATTCTGGGGAGGATTATAGACTGCATATATCTTGAATTGGTTTTGACATTTCCAAACATTTAATCTGATTATTTCACATTTGTCTTGTGTCGAGCCCATACTCTTGATTAGGTCGTAGTGTGAGGTGAGCTTTAAAGACTTAAATTTTTCATAAAAATTACCAACGAAAGCGTCCATATCTTCGGTCAGACAGTTTAGGGAAAACACGGCTTTCCTATCAATGTGATTTATCTTAACTTTGGTGATACTATGCAGTCCATTTATTTCACTATTAAATTAATGCGTCTTAAATTTCAACGCCCTGCGTAGACTTGTCTTCCTCATCGTCCAAGGAATTCCTTACTATTTCATGTTCTTCATCGAGTTCTGGGCGAAATATTTTGAATTAAATAATTCTCGCTTGTGTTACACTTTTAACTTCTTTCTAGTTATCTTAGTCCAGAAGTTCTGCATAGTTCAGAAGTTACAGAGAGCAATTGAGAAAAGTGATTTTTGATTTCAAGCGGGCTTAAATCGGTGTGCTGCAGTACAAATATCACTTTGCGCTAAACTTTACTAACTTCTTCAAGTAACAAGTTAGGGAATTCTTGTGTTGTTAATGCTTTCGGCCTAGTATTTCCATAAGATATTTATGATTCCCAGCAGTAGAAGTACTTTTTGTTCGACAATTATTTTAGGCAACTCTTTATAACTTAAAAAGATCGAAGCATC